TCTATATTTGTGATAGTAGATTATTTTACCAAGATGGTATATTTTGTATCATGTACAAAATCTATCATAAGTAAAGAAATGGCTAATTTTTTTCTTGACAACATCTATTGCTATTATAGATTACTCAAGGATATTATATTGGATAGGAAGACTTGATTTATATCAAGATTTTAATTTTATTTCAAGACTTCCTATTCTTTTTTTCTTTAGCAATAATCATTCTAGTTTAATAATATATCAAGTTTGAGTGAATTTTTAGTTTTTTTAAATGACACAAGAATGTATTATGGATTTTTTTTCTTCAAGATTCATGTCCTTGATAATATGACGGATGTAAGGATAAGTAGGCTAGAGAATTTTGATGGAATAAGATGAAGATTTCAAAGATTTTTATAATAAGTGAAATTCTATCTAAAGTTATATTTTTTTAAAAATCTTAATAACTTTACTTAAATTGGATTTATAAATGTACTTCTATATAAAAGTGCTCTCTTTTAATTTGCATCTTACCATATATGTTGCCAAATTCTAAAACCTTGCTTGTGACATGGATTGGAATGACAAAGCCCTTATCAATTAATTTTGATATGGATTAAAAGATAATGTGAAATAATAATTATTATTAATATTAAAAATAAACTTAATAGAAAAATCAATTTTTTAATTCATAACATGCAATAATTAATTTTTTAAAAGGCATCAAGAATAAAGATTTGATCAATGAGGTATAAGTCAAACCATAGACTAAAAAATTTTAAATATACAAGATCTTTTATAATCTTAAAAAAAAATTATTTAATTCAAAATTTTATTATTTAAATAAAAAGTCATTAGTGCAATATAACCAAATTTTTATTAATAAATATAAGAACTTTCATGCATGTTACAAAAAAATAATTACTTTTTATTATTTATATCATACTTATTTCTAATAAAGAAAAGACTTCAAGTGGCATTTCAAACAAGTATCAAAATTGTTAAGATGTTTTTAAAAAGAAGAATGTAGACATTCTCTTAGAGTACTATCCTTATGATTATTCAATTGATCTTTAAGAAAGAACTCGATTGCCATTTGGATCAATCTATAGCTTATTACAAAATAAATTGGCTACATTAAAAGATATATTGACAAAAATTTGACTATAAATTTTATACACCATTTTGAATCTTTAATAAGATTTGTGAAGAAAAAAGATAGATCACTTTGGATATGTGTAGATTATCAAAGACTCAATAAGTTTACCATTAAGAATATATATTCTCTATCTTTGAATTTAATACTTTTTTATTAACTAAATCAAGCAAAGATCTATACTAAAATAAATCTATAAGGAGCATATAACCTATTATGCATAAAAAAAGTGGATGAATAGGAGATCATATTTTGAATAAAATATCATGCCTTTTGAACTCACAAATGTACCAACTACTTTTCAACATCTTTTGAATGATGAATATTAAGATTTTTTAGATGATTTTATTATCTTTTGTTTATACAATATTTTAATCTACTCTAAAAACACAAAAGAGCTTGAACTCCATATTATATATTATAAAAACTTAGAGATACATAGTTATATGCTAAGATGATGAAATATATTTTTTACACAATTCAACTTAGTTTCTTGGGATATATCATTTTAAATGATAGCCTAATAATAGATCTTAAGAAATTTCAAACTATTATAAATTAGAGGACTCCAAAAATAATAAAAAATATGTAATATTTTTTAAAATTTGTCAATTATTATTAGATCTTTATTTTAAAAAATTAAATTAAAATTTTATTTATACATTTGACTTATATGGAAAAAATTAAGTGGAATAAAGAAATTGAAGCAATATTTGAAGATTAGAAGATAACTTTTATTTTTGTACTAATCTTATATTCTATCAAATTCTTCTAAGTATTTTTTTATAGAAATAGATGTATCAAACTTTGCTTTGAATACATTATTATCACAAATGGAAGAAAATAATAAACTTCATCTAATAGATTTTTATTCAAAATATATTTTAAAAGCCAATATCTACTATAAGATACACCAAAAATAAAAATTCAACTTTTAATCAATAACAATCAATTTTTTTGAAGCCAAAGAACTTTCATCTTTAGATATTGAAATCAATATTGACAATTGATTCCACTTTTTTAAAAAATAAAGTATGATTACATGCTCTTCAAGCCCATCACAACTTTTTAATTGCAAGATATGTAAAATACAATAAGTTTTTAGAGTTTATATTAAAAAAAAAAATAGTAGTTTCAAATGTAGAAGGTAATTAAAAATATTACATAATTATGAAATATTTTTTCAAGATAAAAAATTCCTTGTTATTGACTTTAATAACTTCTTCAATCATTACCTATATTTAAACAACTATGGTCTTTATATTTATAAATTTTATGACAAATCTTCTAGTATCAAATTCTTATGACTTCATATTTGTATTGATAGATTGTTTTACAAAGATGGCACATTTTATATAATGTACAAAATCTATCACAAGTGAATAAACATCTAATTTTTTTCTTGATAATATTTTTTGCTATTATAGATTACTAAAAAAATATTATATCAAATAGAAGGATTCATTTTGTATCAAGATTTTGGAGATTATTTTTAAGATTTTGAAGGTAGATATAAAACTATCTTTGGTTTTTCATCTTCGGATTGATAGACAAATAAAATGAGTGAATAAATAATTATTATCCAAGAAGCCATCCTCTATATCAAATATCAACAAGTTGCAATATTCAAAATAGCCAAGAAAATAGCTAAGTAGTGCTATGACAAACTTATTTTTATAAACATCTAATTGAGATAGAAAATATATTAAGCTAAAAGAGAAGGAAGAATGATTATCAAAGAATTTAAATAAAGAATCCAACAATTGGAACAAAAACACCTTGTTGCAAAAGCAGCCTAACAAAATTGTGAAGGAAATTGTACTAGTTGGATTTAAGAGGTAGTATGCATTATTGCCTTTAATATAATTCAATTGATAAAATAAAAATCTCAATATTTAGTAAAAAGAAAAAAATCGATTATAATATAATATATCACAAATATAATAAATATATTAGAATTATTAGACAGAGACAAAGAATAAAAATCAAATGATGTGAAGATTAATGAACAAGGTTATGAATGCACCTAAAGACTAATTGAAGCAGAAGATATATTAATATAAAAAATCCTAGAAGTTCCAAGATACAATCCAAAGTCCATGGCCCTAGCCTACTAACTATAAATTTTAATTTTAAAAACTTAGACAATTACAAGTGATGTAGAAATGAATGTTATTTCTTAAATCTTATCATGTAGTTATAAAGTAAAGAGAATGAAATACCACAAAAATTAAGTACAAGAATTAGAAGAAAAATTCTAAAGAGACAATGATAACAAGAAAAATGAGGTCAAAGATTTGAGGACAAAATACAAGCTTGCAATAAATATAAAATGTTAGTGCCATAATTGATATTAAAAAAATTTTAGCAATAATTCATAATATTAAATATTATTATATGTCAATATAATAAGAAGATTGAATAAAGTTGCAACAATAAAAACTATTAGTATTTAGTCATAGCACCATTGCAAAAGTAAGTTACAAGTGGTGATTAAGAAAAATTTAGGCATTATAAACATCCTAAAAGAGACACATTTTTTTTTTTTTTTTTTTATGATTTGGATGTTCAATAGTTAGTATTATAAATATGGCATGTTAGTTTGTCAAGTTTTACAAGTATTCGTATTAGGCATAATTATATATTATTTTTTCTTGAATAAATAAAAGAAAGAACATTGATTCACTGAGTTTGGAATACTTATAAGCTTAATAGTGTTTGTGTAGGAGTATCATATTAAAAAAACATATATATCTTAGGTATATTAGTGTCTCACTATTACTATTTTATGACATATTTTTTATTACTACTACTTACAAAATAATAATAAATCCACAAGTCAAATCGAAAGAAGATAATTTACAATCTCTAATACAAAATAAAAAAAAATCTAAGAAAGAATAGTCTATTTTTTAAAGAAATAATCAATATTAAAAGATAAAAAATATTAGGTTAAAGATGGATAGTTTGAAAACTTTTTAAGGACAAAAAAAAAAGTGGAATAAGCCATTCATCTCTAAAATAAATCAAGAATAATGCATTAATATTCTTGTCCATCTATTAACAATATAAATCACAAACAATAAAAACCTCAATATATTCTTATATTAATAGAAAGAATAGATATTTAGTCGAAGATAGTATAATAGTAGAACTAGAGTGACTATTACCAAAGACAAGAATACTAGAGACTCTTAAAACAAGATCAAAAATAAGAAAGATGTTGACATGAGTAAAGAAGACTTTACTCTTACCTCCATATATATTGTCTAATTCAGAACAACGTGGTGACATTCTATAAGACCATTAATACATATCTAACTTATAAGACACATGTCTAACTTGCAAAACATGTTTCTTTTGTATGTGCCAAATAGTCAACTTGTATCACAAATTGTCAATAAATACAACATGTGTCCAACTTATTGGCTAAATTTCTAATCTACCAATTAATTACAAATATGTCTAAAGTTACGGAGTTTCTATGAAGCTTCTCTACAAAATATTATCAAATCTACTTTTATTTATCCTCTACCTAATACTTCTTATGTAAATAATTATGTGTCTGTGATAATAAGTCTATTACATTTCTATCCTTTCCAATTATGACTATTTTTAACTTAGAATTGTATCTAATTTCTACTTGATAGAAATCAAAATAAGTATTTTTTAATACTATATTTATTCCACTAAGATTGTACATTGTGAAGTCCTCTTAGATCTTAAGTTTTCACACTTAAACTTCACTTCTTTCACCACCAAATTTATTACTTTTCCACCTTATGCAAAAAAAAACTTTCAAAGTTATGATTTTGAGCCAAAGGATTTTGGTAAATAAATAAATAAAGAAAGAAAGAAAAAAATCATATTGATAAAAATTTATAAAAAAACTCATATATTTATGTTTCAAGTTGTTAACAAAAATGTTTCTATGTTGATTGGTACAAGGGCAACTAAATTGTTCATAAGTCCATTATGTACTAAATGATTGGACTTGGTTTATGAACAAACCAAAATAGAGGAGGGTGTGAAGGTCAAAAATGACCCTCATCTTGCTTTGGAGTTTTTAATAGAAACTTTGAGAACTCCGGTCACCTCCAAGCCTATTGGCCGGGCCACCTGGAGTAGCAAATGGAGAGGTTGGAAGCTGTCACAATCGTCCCAAAACAAAGATCTTTTGGGGCACGACTTTGGGCAAAGTCCGGATTAGGTGGGAGTTGTTTCGGGTGCCGGGAGGCACCAGGGAGAGACCCAGGGCCTTTGGCGTTGGAGTGCAAAGAAACCTTGCGGCAGGACTCAGGACACCTAGAAGTTGCAGCATAACGTGAGGTTGCGCGGGGACCCTCTGGGGCTCAAAATGCGACTAAATCATTTTCCCACTATGCCGAGTTGCACCTGGGAGAAACTCAGGCGCGCTGCAGCATAGTCACGATGCCACCCTTAGGAGCACCGCTGGGCGGATTTTTGCCTCGCCCTCGATAGGCCGATTTTGAGCTGAAAGGTTGGTTTTAGAAAGTTAACTGTTTGCTGGTGCTTTTCAGGTGAATGGCTAGGCAAGGTCGATGATGAGTTGCGAGTGACGCAGGCGTCGCATGACTTGTAGGTAAGAAAAAGAGTCGAGCACCACCCACGCAGGCTGTGCTCTATAACTACAATTTAGGGGGTGAGGGATTCGCAACCTTGACGGTGGTACCTGAATACGCAAGGAGCAAAGTACCACAATGAGTACAAGAACACACATAAAACCATCACAACATGGAACCACCGACGCAGTCCACACCGATCGGGGGCGAAGACTCACCAGATGATGCAGGAACGAATCACTGAAAGTCGGCGAGGCTTGGTGCGCCAGCTGACAGCGAATATATTTGGCAAGGGCATTGTGATCCCAGGTGATTCTATCCGGGCAACGCCCATCAGCTGTCTATGGATGACTAATTTTGTGTCCGCGTCCCCATCCAGCGCCAAACCATTCCAGTCTAGGAATGTTCTCCGCGGTGCTCCTAACTTGTAACATTTACTTCTAGATAAAATATGACAACTGATTTCGTGCAGTTTCTGCTAATCTGACGCTTTGAAACAAGATTCAAACATAAACAAAAAAATGCAAATGATGGTTCGTCATTTCTTTGTGCTGACAGAAATCCGTGCGACCAGCGAGCAGTCCAGTTTGACAGCTCAGTCGGTAAAGCTAAGTCAGTATAGCATTCAAGCCACTTCAAAGATAAGATATAAATGAATAAAATTTAATATATATATATATATATATATATATATATATACTGTTCCATTCATCAGCAAAGGCATTTACTCACTCATGTTTTGATAGCTCGGTCGGTAAAACTCTGTCGGTAAAGCTCAGTCAGCAAAGCATTCCTGCCACTTCAAAGATAAGTCATATATATATATATATATATATATATACATATATTTGTTCCATTAATCAGAAAAGGAATTGTCATTCTCATGTTTCAACAGAGAAAGGTTAAAAAAATTCACATCGAAACACTCGTAGTAAAGACCTCTAATACTAGCGACTGGATCCGCATCTCGAATGGAGAGTTTGTGGAATAGTGTTTTTGAAATTCAGTTGGGGAAAATGGGAACAGAAAAAGCAAGAGAGAGTGAGAAACACCATGAGCAAGATCGAGTTGATGTCGAGTTGATTCTTAAAACGAAATCTGGCGACAATGAGCTGTCCGTAGAAATGACATACTAAGTGCGAGCTGGAGCTGCAGATTTCAGCAGTAGGGACGAGAAGAAGCTGGATTTGCTTCGTGCACCCACCGTGGCTTGTCCACATGCATCCTGTTGCTACTTGTCCTGCTGGCCTGAAGGGTTGCCGGGTGCAGTCAGTGTGAGGCAGCGGTGCTAGTTTGAAGGATGATGCATTATTTTCTAGTCCGCTGGTGGCCAGAAATCGTCGAGCGAGTCTCAGCAATGTAACTCGTTTGTTTCATTATCGTGGATGAGCATCGTGGACGGAGTCGGAGCATAGAGAATTTTGTTTCAATATCGTGGATAAGGACCGTGGACGAAGTCGAAGGAGAAAGAGAGGAGCTACGGCGGGAAGTTCGGTGACCGCTGGTAGTAGTGGGAGTGGTCCCCGTGTATGCGTTTTCACTTTCTGGTTGGAAACTGGTTAGAGATGGGACGACAGTGGCAGGTAGAAACTGCGACGTTGATGGCGATGGTGGAGAACCTCTCAACTTGACAGCCTCCGACCTCACAACAGGAGTGGGGTTTTTCGAATACTGGCAAATTGTCTTTACATCCAGAATCATGTTTGATCATTGTCGCCTTTTCGTTTTATTCCTTATATTTTCTTTGGTGCGGTGCCACGTCCACGGTTTGAGTGAAACTGAACTAGCGAGAAGCGTCCTCGCCCAGAAGGACATGGATCTCAATACCTTGGTTGAGCAGGTCCAAAAAAATCATGAGAACTTTAAAAACAATTGTGGTAATTGTTTTCCAAACCTTAATCTACATGCGCATATCGTGTTTTGATTTCCATGGCAAATATAGCGCTTTAAGTTCGTCATCATTAGTACATTTAGGATTCCTAATCGTCTTACCAATCAGGAGACGTTTTGATCATTTGGATTAACGATCTCATCAATTTCCGTCATTGTTCAGTGAGGAACTAGAGTCAAATGATGCACTGGCTCCTGATGCTGTCTGTTCATGTTTTAAAACTATTTGTGAGCAGAATTGCTACAAAACTGTTCAGCGGTTTCTGGATGCTCTCGATTATCTTGTTTCAAATATTATGGAGCTTCAGGGCCGGGAGACTACAAGTGCCATCATGTCAGTAATAACTCCTTCTGCCCAGTGGCTGTTGGGACTTGCCAGCACAGAAACTTCGACTTCAGCCAAAGCTTTCTGAGGTCCTCAATTTCAAGTCTTATAAATCTCCCGTCCCTACTTGACCTTTTCATTGTGATAAATCATTGCTCTTGATTTCATGTTGCAGTGGAGTATGTCACTGTGGTGTGAGGAAGTGAACAAGACAATGACAGAAACAGCGGCTTCAAACTCAATATTAAGTGCTATAATGGGAGTAAAACTGAAAATTATCTCGAGCAAATATAACCGTAATGGTGGGGTTTTGGAGTGCAGGCGCGTCGTTGATGACTCTGCCACCGAACAATCAATATGCGCACAGAAGAATTTGGATGTCTTCTTCAAAAACATGTCGAATCATACGCATTTGTTTCAAGTTTATTTCGGAGCTAGTGACGGCTCTTTCCGCGTCTTCCCGGGATCGGTAATCAACTAGTATTCACTGAGCTTCGAACTTGTGGGTGTGATGAATCCGACTCGATATTGACAGTGTAAAATTGAGCTGAATCCCCGGCTTCTCTGTGTCGCAGGATGAAGCCAATTGCGAGAATAGCTATGAACCGAGGATTAGGCCGTGGTTGGATTTCCATACTCGAATATCCAGTGAATTGAAACCTGCAAATTTTGTTACTGTACAATCATTCGTTTTCACTTAGTCCTATTTTCCTGCTTGTTCTGATTAGGTTAAAAATATATCAAATGGCAGGTACCGTAGATCAATACATGCCAGGAAATCCATCGTTGTGTTGATAGACACTGGGTCTACCATGACTAATAAAATTGAAGCCGAGAACGGTAGTTTATTGGATTTGTTGAAGGGGAAATTGAGCACAAATTTTCTGACGACCCTAGATGAGAAGGACATGATATTCTTCATGACGTTCGGCTTCAACGAATTTAAACAGTTGAATTCAGCAGCGGCACGCACTCATATCCTGCAACAACTTTATGTGTACATTTGCATATTTCTGCAGTTTGCATCCTCTAGTGGCCCATGAGTAGCACATTGAGAGTGAATGGATGCATGTATCTGGGCTTCAATCTGGGTTTGAATTGTGGCGTTTGCTACTCCGATACACGGAGTGTACAATAGAATAGCTCGCACAAGTATGTTGATCAAGTGTGGGCTATGTGCACAGGTTGTGGAGTCGGATCCTGGGGTTCAAAATGGTAATTCCACCGTCGATAAATTGACGAAGTTGCTAGACGCTATTGATTCGAAGTCGTCTCTCAAAGATCCCACTGAAACCGATGTCATTAGCGCAATTAATAACGCCAGCGATGTGCTAAGTACAAGCGATTCTCAATATTTCAACGTTCTCTATTTCCAATTCTTTACACTTTACAAGTATATTTCTGAAAACCGGTCACTTGCTCAGCAGTTAGTTGGTTGAACCCCGATGGCTTGTCAGCTTGATCGTATGTCCTAATATTCTAGCTGTCTGATTTTCTTGCCTGTCGGGCTTCCAGGCCGTTAGAAAGTTTCTAAAGAGCCTATATCTTGATCTACTGTTGTAAATGGCAGGTCATACTGATGTTCACAACTGGGGACAACATTCCGCAGAACATCACAGTGGACGCGAGTGTAAGATTGTTCATTTACAAGCTGATCATCGGCCCAAATCTGACTTCGGATAATTGCACAGAGAAAATACTTATAGAACATCTTAAATACAATGATTTCCAACAGAATGCGCCGTTTGCCATGAAATCATACTTTTCTTGGCTCGGCAAGCTACATAGGTTGATCATGAATGGCAGCATTGATTACAGTGAACTACATGAAGATTTCAATGGAATCGATTCACACACCTTCACATTGAGCAAACCAGGTACGCGACATTTATGTCTCAAAAAAATTCGTGGAGTAGCATCTTTTGTCTTGTGAACCATGTACATTGTTGCCGCCCTGCGCAAAAGCACTAACACTCTTTAGTCCACTGCCAGTTTTCGACTCGAATAAACAGCTGCTTGGCGTTGTGGGAATAGATATCTTCAAAAATGAAACGTCGAATGACTACAAGTTTACAGACAACACCACGTTACAAAATGCCGTCCACGACCGCAACCAGACTACTAGCTCCTCCGGAGAATACGATGCTTCCACGATGACTAACGTGCCCAGCGTGTGCTACAAGCCAGTAAGTCTCGAACGCGCTCTTGCTCAACTCACTTGTGCTGCTTATCGGATACTAAGTTTCGTTGATACCATTGGAAGTCTGTACGCTACCGCCATTCGATATTCTAGAACCAGGAAATGAAAAAGGCATCAAGCAATCGTCCAATTTGTGCTAACCCCTCCCTCATTCACTACTCTAACAATTTCTTCAACAATGCGGTTTGACACTCCTTCGATTGTGCTCTTGGTTTTCCTCTGGCAGTCCATCTGCCCAGGGCCCAAAAGCGAGATAAACTCCTTATGCCCAGCCAAGAACGACAATCAAAACACGAAAGTAAGTTGCTGCGGCGACTGCATCGCAAGGGGAGAACCAAACCACACTGCCCTCATCGCAGGTTTGGTGGTCGCTGGAGCGGTCGTAATCTCTTTCGTGTCAATATGGTTGGTAAATTTCTGTATCAGGTAGCGCAAAAATAAAAAGCTAGAAAAAGCGCTCAAGCAGTTAGACCGTATACAACCTCCAAACGAGTAAAGCCTCAAACACTGCAGCTCAGGGTACAGAATCCACTGGCGGTAAGGATACTCCCGCGGGTACAGGACCCTTCTCGCGGAGACACGCCGCCGTCGCCACCTCCTCCGAGTCATAGAGCCTGCGTCCCAAGCCCTGTCAACTCGGTGTCGGTGTCTAGAACTCCGTGTGGTTAGTGTTCACGGATCATGGCTCACAGACTGTGTGATGGGTTTCGGAGCCAGTGTCGGAAGCACTTTGCTTCTGAAATGTCTCAATTAGTCTCAGGTTTCGATACACTCATTCATTTTTTATTACGTTGTTTTCATGTTTTTATGTTGAGAAGTAGAACCTGAATTTTGAATGTTTTGAATGTGTATAAATATATATAAAGCACACAAAACTTACTACATGACATGTTTTTAGAACATTCAATTGTAATTTTCATTCAAGATAGCATCATTTGAGTCTGTACTTTAAAATTGGATTTAAGATAAATTTTTTCTAATATCTTATTTAAGACATGAATCATAACAAAACTCTAAAGTAACAATAGACTCTTGCAGCACTTAAAAAGATAAATATAAGATAGAAAGTATAATAGCTATTGCTAAATAAAAAAAGATTGGAGATTCTTAAGCCAAGAAAAGAATACAAAAAAATGCATTGACAAGAGTGAAAAAGGCTTCTTTAGTGACACTATACATACAATCTAATTAAGAAGCTACAAAGCAATATTCTACAGGTCTTCCATGTTTGGAATTAACTCAATTCTTAGCAATAGGTAAGTTTGACTTAACCATGGTTAGTTAACCAACTTAACTAGGTTTAAGGTTAGTTCCATGTGTAAGTTTTTAGTATATAGAAAAGGTTGCTATTCCTCTCTCTCTCTCTTGTGTGCATACTTTATTCATACTTTGGAAATTCTTCAAAAGTTTTTTCTTGTTATGTTGTCCCGATTGATTATATAGCCCATCCTTATGATTGCTTATGTTTCCAAATAATTGCTTAGCTAGATTGTATCTTCTACAATTGGTATTAGAGTTGATGGTTTCTCGATAGTTCATGACTTAGGCAGTTGTGCGAGTTTGGCAAAGAGAATCTGTATAGTAGGTGCTCCAATCTCTAAGTTGATGTTGATCGTGAGTCAACGACTTCTTTTGCTTTTCAAACATCTAGATGTGACGGGGCCACCTGTGCTTCTCCCTGAGGCGTGCAACCACTCAAGCTTGATAAACGTACCTACCCTCTGCAAATGGCAAACCTAGTCCTTCTGGCATAAGATCGAAAGAGAACTGGATCTTGTTTCTTAATAGGCTTTGGAAAGAGTTTGAAGAATTATATTGTATAGTATGCTAGTCTCCTATATAGAATACTATCTACTTTGTATTGATCTTACACCAAGAGTTGTTACTCTTGGTATTACCCTTGTATAGACAATATATTATATATCAATTGATCTTATTAATATAATATTGTTTCCAACATGGTATCAAAGCAATAGAAAATTTGATACTTAAAAAAAACTTTAATGAATGCTTTATTAAAAAAAGAATTTCTGAAATTACAAAGTAGTTTATAATAAAAATAATATTAATACAATTCATTATAATAGAAAAGGTTGATGAAGAAATTTAAGTTCTTCAAACTATGAGAAGCAATTCTAGACCTGAAAATGGCAACATACAAACCATAAGCAAAGATAAAATTGAATTGATCAAAAATAAATTTATAAATTATTTTAATTTTATTTCAAATTTAGAATTTTGAAGATGACACAAAAAGTGGACATCAATCATGTTCCAAAATTTTATGGTTTATATTTTAATATATGGAAACATAGATTAACAATAGTTTGTAAGGCTAAAAAGCTATGGTCCATAGTAAGTGGTGAAGAATGCTTACTAGTCAAATCAAGAATAGCAGAAATTGCTGCCAAAGCCTCAGCTTTACCAACCATAGGAGTAGGGAGTATAAGCACATGGATAGACAAGGATGCCTTATCTTTAATCATAATCAACAATTGCCTAGAAAACATCATTGTTTCACATATACAATCTTGCACATCAGCAAATTCAACATGAGAAGTATTAGTAAAAATATTTGAATCACATGATGTAGTAACTAAGATATATTTAAAAGATAAATTATAAACCTTAAAAATGAGAGAAGATGATAGTGTTATTAAACACATACATACTTTCAGAGCACATATGGAATAATTGTTGGCAGTAGGATTAACAGTTCCAGATGATGAAGCAATTCTCACTTTAATGAGAAATTTACTTCTAAGTTATAGATCCTTTATTAGCTCCTTAAGAAGGCAGCTTGGGATCACATTAGCATCCTTGATAAAAAATTTGATCTAAGAAGAAACATCCATGAAAAATATGAATTTAACATCTAATAATAATTCAGCATTATATGTAGGTAAGAAATTTCAAAATAATAACAAGAAATCTTATTTTGATAAGAATTTCAAAAGGATTTCACAAGGAGAGTAGCACCTCTAAACCACATGAAAAGAGCAATTTTGCTATTGATAAGAAGTATTTTTTTTGCAAGAAATCAGGTCACTTGATTAAAGATTGTAGAACAAGAATAGCAACTAAAAATTATAATAACAAAAATAAAAAAAAAAATATATATATATATATATATATATATATTGTTATCAAAACCAATAAATTATATATGGTAATACTTATAGTTAAAAAAAACCCAAATTCAATGTGGTATGTGGATTCAAGAACAACTCAAGATATATATCATAAGTTAAAAGGATTTGTTAAATACATCAAAAGTAAAGACAAACAAATTATCTACTTAGGAGATGATACTACATCATACAGAATAGAACGACATGGTGATGTAAATATCAAACTTACAAATGGTGATGATAAGATCATACCTGATATATTACATATACCAGGACTTGCAAAGAATTTATTCTCTACCAAACAATTAAATAAGGCAAGAAGAGAAATTTGCATACAAGCAAGCACCACTAGACTTATAAATAAATTTGATCAAACCATTGCAATATGTAAATTAAACCCTGATTTATATGAATTAGGTACAACAATACTTTTAAACAAACCTCAAGTTGCTATTCCAGCAACAATACAATTAAATAAAGCAGATTTATGGCATTCAAGACTAATACACATAAATCCTCAAAGACTCAAACAAATACAAACCATGATAAAGAAGATTGATCCTTTTGATAAAAAAAAAATTACCTTGTACCAACCTTGCATAGAAGGTAAACAATATAAGGAAAAGTTTCCTACACAAGCTACACAAAGAGCTATCCAATTGTTAGAACTTATACATTCTGACATTTGTGGTCCTATGAAAGTAGGCACACATTTAGGATGTACTTACTTCATCACATTTATTGATGATTTAACAAGATATTGCCAAGTATATTTGATGAAATATAAATTTGAAGCATTTGAAACATTCACCTTATATAAAAAATTTGTAGAAAAACAAACAAGTTTCAAAATCAAAATCTTAAGATCTGATCATGGAGGTGAATATACATCTAATGACTTAAAGATTTTTGTAACAAAGAAGGCATTAAATAAGAATATACTATAGCTTATACATCACAACAAAATGGTGCTTTTGAAAGAAAAAATAGAACATTAAGAGGAGCAGTACTTACAATGCTATCCTAATCAAACTAACTTAAAAATATTTAGAGTGAAGCACTCCAAACATCAAATTACCTCCAAAGTAGGAGCCTTACAAAATTTGTATAAGTTACCAAAATACCATTTGAATTATGATATAAACAACAACCAAATTTATCCTATCTTAAAATATTTGGTTGCAAAGCTTATGTATTCATTCCTAAAGAAACAAGAAAGAAATTAGAATCTCATTTGTAAGAGGCTAGCTTTCTAGGCTATAGGGAAGAATCTAAAGCCTATAGACTTATGAATATACAAAATCAGAAAATTCTTATTTCAAGAGATGTTCTCTTTAATGAGAATCTACATGATCCACAAACAACCACATACTTGCAAAAAGACAATGAAAAACTCTTACTAGATTTAGAATTATTCAAATATCCTTCAACAACTATAAGGACCAATGAGCAAAACGTCTCTCTACTTCAAGGCATGTCTTCTCCATCAATGCCACCACCACAAGAAACACATGTATTTGATCAACAACCAATACATAGTACTTCTTCAAATATGGAAGAAGAATCCCCTTCTCACATTGATATCATAAAAGACTTCTCTCAACTATCATTACTAAATGATCAAGAAATCTTATCTCTTGAAGATGATAAAGTCCATTCTACATTGCAAATCCCAAATCTTTTTTCTCGTTCTCAACCAACACGAATTATTCAACCAACCACAAGATTGTTAGAGTCTATATAAGGTTGAAAAGAATATAAACAACAACGTAATTGGCATCATCAAGCCCACCTTATTTCTACTCATATAGAAGCTCCAAACCCCATTCAAGAAGCAATGAAGAGGGTTGATGCTCAAGAATGGCAAAAAGCAATCAATGTTGAAATTACATCCTTAAAAAAAAAAATACATGGCACATGACAAATTTAGCTCCTAATCAAAAACAAATCAGTTCAAAGTAGATTTTTAAAATAAAAACTAAAGCTGATGGAAGTATTCACAAATATAAAGCAAGGCTAGTTACAAGAGGTTTCACCCAAGTTCGAGGTATTGTTTATATGGAGACATTCTCTCCTATAGTCAAACTTAACTCTATCAAAGTTCTTGCTTTAATCACTCAACATAATCTGAAAATACATCAACTAGATTATCAATATTACTTTCTATGATTACTCCTATTTTCAAGTTATTGGCAGTTTTATGCATGCCATTTTTAATTTTAGACCCGATTGTGCTTATGCTATTAGCAATTTAGCACAATATCTTTCTAAACTAGGACCTATGCATATTCAAACTTTAAAAAGAACTATGAGATATATAAAAGGCACATTAAACTTTGGCATAAAATATCAATACTAATCTCAAGGTGATATTCTCCATGGTTATTCTAATGCTTATTAGGCAAGTGATAAGGACACTCATTGCTCCACCTCTGGATTTTGCTTCTTACTGGATAGAGGAGTCATCTCTTGGGGCAGCAAGAAACAACAATTTGTTGCTTCATCCTCTACAAAATCAGAATACATAGCTTTAACAAAAGCAACAGTTGAAGCCATATGATTGAGAAAACTATTATATGAACTTGGATTCCCTTAGCACGCACCAACTACTATATATTCAGATAGTCAAAGTATCATTGCTCTTAGTGAAACTCCCAAATATCAATTTAGGAGCAAACATGTGGACACACAATACCATTTCACTAGAGAAAATATCATTTTCAAAGAAATCAAAGTACAATATGTATCAACCA